GAGGTTGAGGGAATCCTGTCATCAATGGTGTCATTGATTTCTCTTTGTTGCCCTCTAGGGTCTGGAGGAGTCCTGGAGGAAACACAAGGAGGTGGCAGCCTACCTGTATCGAGGACTTGAAGACTTGGGTCTCAAACTTTTCATTTCAGACAAGGTGAGGCAGACAACATAAGTAAAGAAAGATACCGCATTCAATAAGAGGAATTGAAGAGAAAATGGGACTTTTTGTGGGATTGTTTATCACCTGTGTGTGTTTCCTCAGTGTTGATTTTGTGGAATGCTCTGCAGGATTTGAGACTTCCCTCCGTGACAACCATCGCCATCCCCGACGGCTACGACTGGAGGAAGTTATTGATGTATATGATGAAGAATCACCGAATGGAGATGACCGGAGGCCTGGGCCCCTCCGTCGGCATGGTGAGCATCTGCTGGCATGAAGGAAACATTTTACTGTGTTCAAAGCAGGGGCGGGACTCTCATTCGGTACCTGAGCCTCCATTGAGGACTGACCCAACTGACAAGCTAGCTAGCGTCGGGAGTGGCAAAATTCCAAAAGAAATTTGATTTTTAAGTTTCTTTGAGACCAAGTCAATTTGTCTTAAAAAAATAAAATGCTCAATATGTGCAAATAGCTACATATGCGTTTTGCTAGTTTCTCTGAGACAGTTTTGCTCTGACCGACGAAACGCAAGACGGAAAAATGTAGATGTTATCGCGAGTCAGCTAGCCTATGAGGCAAAGTTGAAATCTGTACACTGTGACACTGAGTAAAGATGACATAGGTATTTACGTTATGAGTCTAATGAAATACTCAAATGGATTAATGACAACCTGCTGTTGTATGTGAGAGCCACTGCAATGCTTCAACCGTTTTCTGAATGATCCTGCTCCACTATTGATCTTGTTACAGGCCCATAATGCCATGTTTGCTACTTTCCTTTTCATTAGGTGATGCGGATTGGACTGATGGGATACAACTGTGAGAAGAGTAACGCCGACATGGCGCTGCACGCCTTGGCAGATGCGCTGAAAAACTGTAAAAAGAGCAAGGCTTAAAAAAAAAACAAAAAAATGGGTTGCAAAAACTTAAGGCTTGGATTTATTTTCTGTTTTGAGTAGTACTTTTGAAATGAGTGGCAAACAGACACCACATGGTCTATGCATAATGCACTGATAGCTGTCAATAAATGTGGATTGATTTGTCAATTTGTGGCATTGTTGTGTAGTAAAAAGCAATAAATTATTGAAGCAGAAAATGCTTCCCTAATTTTCATAGAAAGACCAAACGTCTATTTTCACCCCAAACACATCAGAAGCACTGACATACATTTACAACTAAAATTTGTTCCATTAAATTGTATTGCTTGTTCTTTTCATTTTGTTGTGATTCTCTTGGCTACACCCTTGTAGTGTATTTTGTGGTTCAATAAGTTTTCAGGCTCTTTGTGTTGCCATGTCAATTTAACCTTCCATTAAAAAGGATCAATGAAAAACTATACAGTCCAAACTACATTTCCCACAATGCCCTGGCGTATCAAATGCTGGTGAGGACAGCGGAATAGACGCTGTCGAATTTGTTTGCGATCTCTAGCTTTAGTCATTCTTAACTGACTTTCACGTATTAAAATAATGGCTTGTCCTGCACATCAACCAGGTAGGACATTTAACTCTTTATTATAAATGCAATATGAAATAAAAATGCAGTCGAGTGGTCACAATTTGACTGTGCAGTGGTTCCTGATTTATGAAGCATTGTGCAGGTGATTAAAGGGTATCAAACGGTTGAAATGTGACTTTACATTCGTTGTTTTAGTCGTTAAATTACAACCAGTGTTGGCGCTTAGGAAGAAATCAGCTCCATAGAATATCCCAGCATTTCAAGTATCGTCCCGCATGACGCAAATTTAAGTTTATCTAACACACATGACAGATACGAGAGCTTTTTAAAAAATGTGTTCGGCGTCATTTAGCCTCGTTTTCAAGGGGGGGGGGGGACTTGCAAATTACACCGTGAAATTAGAAGAGTCACCTAGTTTGTTAGGTCAGCGTAATCTGTGCACAATTCTTCTTCGCCAAGATGGAATGCTCGTGGTTGTCCGGGCGCTGCCATCTGCTGGAGAAGAGGAGCTTTACATTTAGTCGCTGGAGAGCGAACTCTTATTTTCTTTTAATTCACAAATTAAGTGCTCATTTTTGTAGACGGAGGGTGGAATCCCTGGTCATTTTACTAGATGTATTATTTACTTTTTTACTTCAATTAGTAATGCGAATAAAAGGCTGTTTTGCCTTTTGGGGGAGGGTGGGGCGAGGGGTGGGTAGTCCAAGAAATACTTTACTGACTTGTTTGTTGACAGAAAACTAGAATCAAACATTTGTTGCACGGCAGTCCAGTATGTGACCCAAAAGAATTGACTTCTGAGTCAGAAGTCAATTCTTCAGAAGTTCTAACAAATACACTTGAAATAGAAAATAAAAAAATGATTGAGCGCCCATTCCTAATAAGTGGATTTTACCTGTAACAATGTATTTTCCCCTGCCTGTTTTTTGTTTTGTTGCATTGGTTATATTTAGCTGAGATGAACCCCACCATCCTGCCTCTGGACTGGCTTCTGGGAACCTGGCAGTCTGACGAACCAGGGGAGGGCTGCTTTCCCACCATCAAACCATTCCGCTACTTCGAGACGCTTCAGTTCAGCCACGTCGGGCAACCCGTTGTCAACTTCTCGTCGGTTCTTTCACGCCAGGTCAATTATGAGGTGGAACCACTCAACCGCTGACTTAGTCCTCTCGTTTCTCCTCCTCTTGTGGTTTTTAGGTTCAATGCCTTCCACGCCGACTCTAAGAAGCCTCTGCACCGAGAGTGTGGCTTCATCCGGATGCAGCCGGGAACCAATAAAGTGGCTTTTATTGTGGCGCAGAACTCAGGTATGCTGCATTTGTTATGATGTGACCAGAATGCGCTTCTTGGCCACTAGAGGGCGATATAATACAGTTGAAAAAGTACACCAAGATTTGATGGCGTAGGACAGACAACAGACGGGTGTCCAAACGTTTTAGTTTGACGCCCGCGTACAGAAAAACGAAAGAATGCCAGGGCGGCTTTGAAATTATTTAATTTATTAAAACGCATGAAAATTAATCAAGCAAGCGATGAATACTTTTTAATGTTTTTCTAGAAATGTTTAAAAAAACTGCTACACAACAGCCATGTAAAGGTGAAAGAGTTTGGCATTTAAGATTTGGGGGGTAATGTTCATAAATTGGACGTTGACAGACAGCAGAAAGTGGAAGAAACTATCTTTACTTTTAAAATGAAATTATCCACCACAGTGTCTTGAAGAGACATTGTGTTATTTTAGACAATACAATTTTTTTGGTATCTTTGCATATCTATAAAAGTGCTACAGTATATAAATAAATGTTTTAGTAGAGTGGCACATATTTTTGCGACATCCTCCCTTCTCATTCTGTTCACATCCACTTTTATTCTTTTTAACAAGCCTTATGGAATGTATCTTTTTTTTTTTTTTCATTTTTACTATATGACGCTGGCCACCAAAAAATTGATGGCAGGCCACAAATAGCCTCCGGGTGATAGTTTTCGACACTCCTGGTGGAAGACGGAGTTTTAACTGAACATTGATTTTCACAGAGGACAAAGAATATATGCCTGGGAGTATAATATGCATCTGTTGATACCGTTTGCATTCAATTATAAATTAACAGTCTTATGAGTACCATCGTCTACGACGTGTCCTGTTATATCTTAGCATTAGACTAGCAGACTTTCATAAGGTAGCATTAAGTGGCTTGGTTAAATACATAAAATGTGTTTGTTTTACAATAAATTTAAATTGGGGAAAAATGGGTTCTGGGTAGGTCTGGTGGAAATTGAGGAGGGTGAGCTTACAGGCCAGCAGTTGAACCTGCGCAGTCATGCCATCGCCAGAATCTCCTTCGCCAAGGAGCCTCACGTAAAGGAGGTACTAAACCGGTCCATCGCATTCTCATAGTTTCCTCTTTTGCATTGTTCAAACAGTGGTCTCTGTTTTTACTGTTTTTAACAGATTTCACGAGTGTTTCAGCTCCGCGCGGACGGGAAACTGGAGCAGAGGGTTTCCATGGCAACAGACACCCAGCCACTGATGGAACACTTGCGCATCACTTACATCCGCTCGTCTTGAAGCAAAATGATTCAGCAGAAGTCCTGCTCAGATTTTTTTTTTTTAACCATGTGGTTTGTGTTCCATCTTTCGAGGAAACGATGTTAGAGCAAAAGTAGCAATGATAAATGTCCAGTATATGGTACATTTTATGACTACCGGCAGGTGTTTGTATGTTTCTCTGTAGCAGCAAATTCAGGTTTGTAAACCACTGTAATAACTGGAAGATGCCTGTTGATGGTGCCGTTGTATCACTTTGGAATGAGTTCAGCACAGCTTTTGTGTTGATGAAGATGAGGGGGTGAATCTGGGCTTGTCACATCAATGATAAAGGAGAGGAATGCAAACATGTTAGAAGTTGGACAAGTTTTGGCATGTTATACGCAAACTAAGTGTGTGTGTATGCATGGTGTTAACAGTGAGTGCCATTGCCGGTCGTGGGTCTCAATTTTGAGGAAATATGATGCGGTTTGTGGAGTCAAAGGCGAACGCCGTTTGAAAAATAGCCATTGACATTCAACTTGAGCCATGCGGCGAGTCGACATTTCACACAGTGAGTTTCTTAGCAGTATATCTGTAAATAGTTTATTTTGCTATCAAAAGCCATTTGTCAGTCTTGGTTTTGTTGTTTTAGCATCAGTGAAGCCATAATCCTCTCAAGGTTTTCTTTTGTCTGAATAAATAAATAAGCAATAGTTGCAAGATTTTGTCATTTATTGCAGAATAACAAATACATTCTCGCACATAAATTAATATTATTTAAAGAGCCAAAATATAAAAAATAAACACCAAGCATGTCACACAATCAAGAATCAGAGATTCTTCTGCACCCGGTTATACTTTATACTGCAATGGCTTTCATTGTTACGAAAATAAAATCATAAATAATCTATGTACATGTTTAAAAGTCAAGGAAAACACCATGAACGCGTGTGCCTGTGTGAAGTCCTCCGAAAATAAGCAACCCAGCGTTGGTAGTGAATGTGAAATCCGCACTTTTGATCAAAAAGGACCCAAACTGTTTGCATTGACCGAAGCGGGGAGTTGTAATATTGCAATTGTCCCCCTCAGCCCCCCTCCCCGCCCCCATCCCATCTCACCTGCACCATCTTGCGACTAGACTCTGGATAAAGCCCAATCCCTGGTGACAAAAGAGAACCACGCTGAGCAAACATTCATCCATGGCCACCCAGCAGCAGTCCGAGCTCAGCCCAGCAGGCTCGACACAAGAATTATAACGGGTCCCCGAGAGTGTCTTTTTGTGTCGTACGGTGGGATCGAGGATTCCGGCAGGTGGTCACCCTTCCTTCATGATGTAAACGTACATGGACGTGAGGAAGTATCGCAGGGAATCCAGGGCGGAGGACAGCCAGCGGTGTTCGGGGAAGAGGTCCTTTTTCACCACGCAGTTGGTCAGTTCCAGCTGCAGGAGGAATCGGAGAGAACCTTTCGGAAAAGTTCTATTTTGTATTTCAGATTTGATCATTCTAAATGCAAGAAGCCGAAATGGGAGGGTCCCATCGTCATAAAAATGCTCTAATACTACAACGCCGATACTACTTCACCAGCATGATTCATCCCTTGCAGCTAGTATCCATATGATCATCCTACCCGTATAATCTCAAAGAATAACCATAAAAGTCTAAGTACACGCAAACGTCCGACTGTCAATGGCTCATTAAAGCAATTCTGGAGCTGATATTTAACACTCCATCACTTCAGTTGTCCTGCCACAATTCTGTTTAATAACTCAAATGCCTCAAACGTTACAGGCTACATTTAGAAGAAATGTGCAGTTGGAACATGCAATGTCAGTAAGGTATTTCTCGAAAAAGTGTGATAGTTGAGTGAAACTTGTGCCATTCACAAGAACAATATTTGATTGAAGTCAAACACATTTGCCTCACAACTGCGAGAAACAAAGACATTATGAAATATCCCCACTTGGCATCGCCGTGTACTCAAACGCAAGTACTTTTACTCTGTCTGAAAGAAAAAAAAAGGGATGTCTGGGCATGTCTAAATCGGAGTGTGTCACCGTTTTCTTATTCTATGCACCGATGATTGCTGCTGTTCATACCAGCACAACAATTATTTTGTTACATTTCGTTTGGCTTTCAATATTTGGATCAAGTGCAATTATGGTTCGCGTATAACATCATTTGAAGTACATTTGTCTTACATATAGAGTAGAAGAAGAAAATGTACTTCATTTAATTCATCAACACATTTCATGTTAGTTCAAGGCAAATGTACACTTAAATAAAGCCATTTATTGTTCTAATATGAGATGTTGTCATTGTATTTTTGGTTTATTATCAACCTCAGCAATGTGCGCGGATTATCAAAATATCACTAATATTTGGAGAAATAAACTCGTAACAGTGCGGAAGTCAAAAGGCGGCGACTCACCCATCCTCCGCGTCTCTTGAGCCACTGTGCCAGATACTTGCGGACGAACTGGCCCAGACTGTCCACGATGACGTGAACCATGCTGGCATGTCCTTGCTTCACGCAGTCCACAGCCAAGGCGCCGGCCACCGCGTACATGGATACCACTTTGCCCCATGTGATGCCTGCAGCGCCAAAAACACACCTTAGTGTTACTTCCGTCTCACAATCTGTGTTTAGCACTCTATCATAATGTACTTCATACAAATTGCAATGACGCCGCAAAATTTCAACAGGGTGGTGATTGGGGTTTTTTTTTTTTTTTTTTTTTGCTTCAGTTCGCTGGAGAGTGTGCTGCTCCTTCTGGTGTGCACACGTATGCCGCCGGAAATACAGTATGGCTACACATGGAGACACGCACCCAGTAAGCTCCAGTAAAATTAGTAGTTCTTTGCAGATGATAAGGAAAACATGCCTGTCGATATTGTTAGATTAACTTCCTACATGTGCTAACTGCACAATTTGTGACTAAATATCTGTTGCTTAAAGGGATATAACACTGCAGCCCCTTCTATTGCGGTTTGTTAGCATGAAGCTAGGCGGAAAACTTTGTGTTTATTTAAAATGCAGAACGTAAGCATAAATATAAATACAAGAATAAGAGAAATCAATAAATGAAAAAAATTGCCTTTGAGTATTGTTATAAAATGTGTACTGCACAGTTTGTATTCAAATATCTGTAGCTTAAAGCACTGTCGCCTAGATGCTATTTGTTAGCCTGTCTATGGTGTTTTGCATTGTTTGTTAGCATTATGCTAAATGGACAAAGATGACGCAAGCCTGTGTAGAAGTGTATACTAGATAAAAACACACCGAAATAACGCAATTAACTTGAATGTTGAGAATTGATCAATTTATGATTCATGCAGGCATCACACACACGCTTTTCGAAAGACTCAGTAACCTGCAGGAAAATACATATTTTATTTTCATAGATTCTAATTAGCATGATCATTTTTATAGGCGTATTTTGTTTTCCCTCCTGGCATCTGGATATTAAATTGTAATGGTGTACTTAATCGAGTGTCCAATGACCGTCTCGTTCGCCACACGGTTAAATCGGTTTGTTTGAGTTAAAAAAAAAAAAAAAACATTATCTACATTGGACTTTGTTCTGTTAATCATACTATACAACGTGGCCACACATTGAAGCTGATAAGAGCTCGCTCTTAAACTGTCTTGAGCAAAACACGTCATTGAAAAAAAATGGAGTCGATTCCAATATTTACCCAAAGAAAGTGAACACAGTCCTGCTGAAAATCATTTCTACATGCAGTTGGCTGCTTCTTGTTAGGATCCACAGAGACGACAGTACATAATCACATTAACCTCCTTCTACAGAGCGTGCTTGCATCATCAGCTCGTGACGCTGACCCACAACGGTGCCCTGAGGCCGAGCCCAAGGCGAGCTTAAACGAGATAAGAGTCCACAGAAAGTGTCAAGGGCTCACAGAAGACGGCCGAGAATAGAGACGAGATTGTCGGGGATAAAGCCAACCGGGCGGAAAGGAGATAGCCACGGGGCAACGGCCGCAGGCAGGAAACATTTGGAATATGGTGTACTTCCTTATTCAAGTTCAAATTCAAGTCGACTTTATTGTCAAATGTGCTCTATGTGCAACATACAGCACAGATAAAATTTCTTTCCTCTCAACCACAGGAGAGAAAGGAGCCGCTGCGGGTGCCCGCGCCGCCGTCAGCAGAAGAGTTGACATAAAATGACAAAATAATACAACACAACACACAAGACACAGACAGTCGTGCAATCGTAACCACTTTTTCTGCATACACTTTGTTGTTTGAAGCAGTTATAGATGAAATTCGCAAGAGTCATGTTGCATTGATTTTTGTCTCAAATAAGTGAACTACAGTGTATCTCTTTTTACTCATTTTTCTCAATATTTTGCACAACCCTCCCCCTTTCACTCATTTTCCAATGCCTTATTGTAAGATAAAATAAAAGAATATTTGATTGTTTTAAACTTTCATTCGCAGCATATTTGAACTTGTTTTTTTTTTTTTTTTTAAACCTCATCTCCAAATGACCCTCGGCCCTGACCTGTACCGTCTACTGCATGGTGTCAAACTCAGGGCCCCGGGGGCCGGATCTGGCCCGCCACATCATTTTATGTGGCCCGCGAAAACAAATCAAGCATGTCAACTTCTACCATGAACGCTAAAATCTGGACCAAAAGTTCAACTTCTCATATGTAATAAATATTGTAAGCATTTTCTTATTCCCAAACCCCTCATGACAGTAACTTAAACAATCGTCGAATTAACCATTATTCTTGACTTCTTCAAATGCTTTCACGGTCATAACGGCCCTCCAAGGAAAACGGTCACTTCAATGTGGCCCGCGGCAAAAATAAGTTTGACACCCCTGCTCTACTACTTGTGGTCCCAGTAACTCAAGTAGCTCATATGCTTGCATCGAGTGAAACAAATCGATCTACACCGGAGAACACTCTCATCCTTCTGTGGAGCTCAAACCCGTGACAAGCAAGACAAAATGGTATAAAACGTACCTAGAACAAATCAAGCGTATGTGTGTTTCTATTTTTTTCCCTTTTTCTATTTTTATCCAAAGCTCAAAGGCTCCCAGAAGTTCACAAGTTTGTTCGAGGAATGCCATCCCTCCCAAAATGTGCACATCCCCTGTGCTCACCTCCCAAAAAGGCAAAAGCAGCGCAGATGTATTTGAAAACTTTCCTGGCAAGCGGACAAGGTCAACACAACAGGGAGCCGGCATACTTTGACTGGATCACGAAATCAAATATGGAAAAAAAAAATCAAGTGCGGTTTTATTACTTGGACAATGACTGAATGTTTGAAAATGGTGATTCGGTGTGACAAAAATGCAATGCCAAAATCAAGTACAAAATGTTTTTATGATGAATCGGAGGATTTCGGTGCACTGAAAAGAAAAAGAAATGGACAACTGGATTGAAGTCATTTAAAAAAAAACAATGCGATAAAGATACACTTTTACTCTCACAATAATAAAATTCAAAATTGTAATCTTGAAAGTGTCGGGTTGTTTAATCTGAAAGTTTGCTATGAATTTTCATTTTAAAGATGGATATTTTTCGAGAAAAAGAAGCATAACTAGTTTCTTGAAAACATACATCTTCATCCACGGAAAAGATAAAACAATAAATAAATAGATAATCTGTCTTCATTGTCATAATATTACAACTTCAGTCTTAAAAATATGAAATATTAATCTCATACAATTTTGTTCTCAAAAATATATGTTTTATGACATTTTTTTTAAATCTAGACAAATGTCTAATCTTGAAAATGCAACTTTTTCCTTTGATATTTTACACCTATTTTCTGGATAAACATATCTGGTTTTATTCTTCTAGTATCATAACTTCTTTCTTGAAAATATACATTTAAAAAAGAAAAAAAAATTCTCACTTTCTTCTTGTAATATTACAATGTTGGTGTTGAAAATGCAACTTGCTATTTATCTATTATATATATATATATATATATATATATATATACATGATATCTATATCTACAACTTTATAATTTGCAACTTTATTCTTTCAATGTATTGTAATTTTATAACAAATCTAAAGAAAAAGAGCCTTTATTTCAGAATACAGAATTTATTCTCATTAGATTCCAACTTTGGTCCCATAGCGAGATTGATTTTTTTTCCCCCCGTTTGACTTTCAACACGTCTTCTCTAGTGTATGGCATTTCATGCAAATTTCCCTCCAAAAATCCCCACAATTTTGCATGTATTGATCTCATATGTGTTTTGTTCAACACGCAGACATAGATTAGGTGACGTGGATTACACTTGCATGGGTGCGGCCTTTACAAAAAGTGCATTTTTGAGGCCAGTGCTAGAAGGCATTCAATGCGTCCGCAACATGGGTTGGGCTTGACGCGTCAAGACAAGACGTGCGCTCTCACACGTACACGCATGCATCAATTTTTCTAACCATTGGATGGGTTCAGGAGAATTTTGTCAAGTACTTTTTTTATTTTATTTATTTATTTGTTTGTTTATTTATTTATTTATTAATGGATCAAGCCAATGTTTATTATGTAACTACACTGTATATTTTGGAGATGTTTATTAAGGCTATAAAAAGAATCACAAGCAAGGTGGTAATCATTTCCAGATTAAAGTCATACATAACATTATGAGAAATTTGTGTTGTTGTTTTTTTAATATATATTTTTGTGGTAAAAAGTTACACATTTTCCAGATTTAAGTCATACTACAAGAGAATTTTTTTTTGCAAGAAAAAAAAATATTTATCTTGGTAAAAAGTCAAGTCTTTTCAAGATTCCAGTCATAATGCAACAAGAATTAAAGTAGCATAATTTTGTGTACATTTTCAAGAGAAAAATGCGCATTTTCAAGACTGCAGTCATAATATGAAAATGAAATTTAATTTTTTTGGGGGTGGATAAAAAAAAAGTGTATATTTTCAAGATGACGTCATAATATGACAGGAACAAAAGTTGCCATCCACAGGTGTTGACGAGGACGCACTGGTGTACCTGTGGAGAAGATCTCAGTGGCGACGCCGATGAAGGCGTCAGAAACCATGGTCTCCATGGCAACGGAAATGTTGAGTTGGCGGGCCACGTTCCTGTACAGGCTGGGAAGGATGCGCTCCAGCTCGTCACCTAGGTAACGTGCACAAAACATCAGCTCGCTGCAAAAATTAAAAATTTAAATTGCATTCATGCCACCAATGTTGCATGCTTGCCAAGAAATAATTGGACAAACATTTTAAATTGTTCATAAAAATGTTACATTTGAGAAAGAAAGCATAATATTACGAGAAAATGTGTACTCCAGTGAAAATTTTTACTGTATCGGTCTGAAAAAAAAGTGGTACTGGACATTCCTCATCGCGAGAAGAAAAAAAAGGGATACAGTTGACTCTTGCATAGTTGTGATTCGGCAACTGTTGCTTCACGAATTTGCTGATTTTTTTTTTCAATATTTTTCAATACTTTTTTATTGTTTGTTTTCGTACGGGGGAGACAATTCCTGTTATTCATTGAAAACGAATATTGGCGGCTTGGGCCCGGAGACCACTATTTGCCAGGCTATTTGCAAAGCTACACCGGCAGGAGTTCCTGGGGAAGACCCAAGACACACTGGAGAGACTATGTCTCCCGCCTGGCCTGGGAACCCTTTTGGGATCCCCGAGACGAGCTGGAAGAAGTGGCTGGGGAGAGGGAAGTCTGGCCTTCCCTGCTAATGCTTTTGCTCCCGCGACCCAACTCTGAGTAAGCAGCAGAAAATGGATGGATGGATAAACGTCTGAATGTTATAAAAGATGAAAAGTTGCTGATTTGTGAGTTTAAAGTCTGAATATGACGGGAATACACTCATCAATTTTCAAGGAAGCACATTTTCTTTATTCCGTTTCACGGGATTCCAACTCCTCTACTTGAAGCACTGGGAAAATACCGTTTGAGGAACTAAATTGTAAAACTCTCTATCGTTCCATCTGAGATAAGCTCTTGCATGCGTCACAATGGCCAATTTGCAACATTTGTAGGCGAGAGCACCACAGGGCGTGGCAAGGACTTACCGAGGCAGAGGAGCACAAAGGAGACCTCGGCCAGGGCGGTGCCGCAAGGTGACAAGTTGAGCTCGCCTTTGGACCACGTCAGCCCATTCTGGTTGAGTCGGGACAGGATGAAGTCCCGGCATAAGGCCTTGGCCTGCGTCACCAGCTGCTTGTCGCTCAGGGATCGGTCGAACACCTCCAGGACCTCGGCGGCGAACGCCGTCGACTTGCGAAGAACCTCCATTACCTCCTTCCGGCGACTCTTTTGAGAACCGATGTCAAATCAGCTGTCACAAGAAGAAGAACGAAAAATGACTTCACAACCGCACAAGGACCAGTGATGTCAGTTTAAAAAAAAAGGCATATTGTCAAGTAACATCAAAAATAATGGGTTGCTTTTTCCAGTCATGTAATTACATTTACTTTTGTAGAATCACAAAATGCTACTATGCAGAGCATGTCGACTTCTACTTGAAGGTGAAGTCAGTGTAGCAAAAAGTAGCACCTGTCAACATAAAAGGAAGATCGAGTTAAAGGCCTCCACGCTGGAGCAGTGTGAAATAATTGTCATAATAATAATTTAATACTTAAATAAAAAAGTATGTACAATATTTATCAGCCATGGTCCCTCTGTCTCGCTCATATTGCGCATGCAACCATACTAGTTGCCAATGAAAAATAAAATTCAGTCAGTGCGTTGATGACTCATTACATATCCATACCATAATACATAAACAAAGATTCACGTTTTGACGCTGAAAATAGTCACTATTTCAAGTTTGTGTCAAGTAAAAAAAAAAAGTTAAGGTTTGTTGCACACTCTTTGCTTTCAATGGAGTGTTATCTAGCTTCAATAACCTCATGTCAAATTGAAAAAAAAAGGGGAAAAAAAGGACTTTTATGTTTGCTGTGTTTTCGGTATCAGCTGAATGTAACTATGAAAGCAACTTGTAATCTAACTTACTTTTAAAAGGAAGTCATCAGTAAAGTAACCAAATGACTTTTTTCAAGCAAGTAATTAGTAAAGTAACTCTGTTACTTTTTCAAGTTAACTGTGGAAGCTCTGTTGAGGACACTAGTCACTTTGTTTTGAATCATGTTGGAAAACCTCCCGCAAACATCACACTCCACTCTTTATTTTTAGTGGAAGACTATGACCAGCAAATTACATAAGAATAGGCTGGAGGCGCTAATAGCGCACAGGCAAAGGCAAGATAATACTATTGCTGCTGCTTCGTCTTGCATTATGCAACCACATGAAAACACAAGACAGTCAGCTGCATTGGTTGGGAACATTTTTTTATACATACAAAATAAAAATGCATAAACATTATTTAAATATATTTTTGAAATATTGCATAGCAAATGCTAAATTGAAAAGATATTTAAAATATAAAAATCTAAAAATAATTTTAGAAGCAAAATATACATTCAAAATAAAATGTATCTAAAATTCATTCATAAGTAAGATAAAATTATTTAAAAAGATGCATGATTTTAAAATATATTAAAAAAGCAGAGGAAATATAACTAAATAACTAAATTAAAAGCAAAGTCGCTTCATTTAATAATATAAAATAAAAAATAAAATCCTAATTTTAAGCAATGTAGATTCTAAATACCAAGTAGTAAAAAGTATAAACATTTACGAAAAAATATATTTTTTTATTGAGAAATTATATAAATAAAACAACAACTGCACAAATATAAATAATTACAATTAATAGTTAGAAAAATACAATATCTTTGAAATAGAACTACAGAAAAATCAATTGAATCATCCATCCATCCATCCGATTAAAACATCTGGGAAGAAAGTCCTGATAAAAAAAATATGAATAAATTACCTTACCAATAAAATAAGAGAATCAATACATCCTCGTACACACATGCACCCACACACACAACCACACGCATAAAACAAGATGTCACATCCTTAAGTATATTAAGAAGCTTGATGCATTTGCAGAAAGCCAGACGAGCAGCACGCTTTTAGCGTTTTCACAAAGTCTTACCGTGCACATAACTTGTCCTCGTCCAAGTCCACTCAAATCAGATTTTGGGCTTCCAAAATTGTCCCAATTTGCGAAAGTGGAAGTGGGGAAAGCCCTTAATAAACAACAACGGCGACACAACAAGAGCGGTGTTGTTCCTGCTATTGTTGCTGCCACTGTTTTGCTGCTCTTTTGTCGCACGTTCCTCATAGAAGCGAGAGCGCTTCCGGCTCCAAATAAGAAGAAAAGGGGAAAGAAAAAGGGGACGCCTCAAATTGACGTCGTTCGCTACCTGTTGTTCCACCTGGGTGCGCTCCATTCACTGACTGGAAACGGCCGGAGGACCGGTCGGGCGGCCCGCCCCACAAACCAACACACCCTCTCCACACTCATGAGAAATATTATCAAAAGCCGACTTTTGATAGTTCATCTTATTTTTTATTTTTTTCACGATTGTAATACACAACAAATAGCCAGTTTTAATTTTAGGATGGAATCTACGTTTGTTGTACGTTAGATTTTGGTTTACGTAACCACTCGCTGCCGGCGGATCTTCCAAATATGGTGCGAACGACGTTTTTAAATCCTCCTTGGTCAAGTGTCTAAATTTAGCGAGGCGGTGAATCTGTACGTAAACAATACGCCAACGCAGTCGTGAAGTCATGAGTCATGATATTTGTGAACACTTCCAGGTTATGAATATGAAACAAGCAAATGAAAGAGCGGAAGTATAGTTTCTGATGTTCCCGTTCGTAATGTAGAAACGTCGGATGTTGAGTTGTCGTAAATTCGGGACGTCGTGTTCTCATAACAAGCTTGGGTTTTCAAAATCAGTATTAAGGTTTCAAATTAGTTTTTTTTAACAGCGTTTGAATTTCAAACTCAGATCAGATTTCAAATTAGGGGTTTCAAAACAACATTAGGGTTTCAAAAATATAGGTTTGAAAATAAGGATTTGCAGCTCCTGTTACGGTTTCAAATGAGGGTTTCAAGACTGTGTTACCGTTGCATATTGGAGTTTCAAACTCGGGTAAGGGTTTTGAATAAGAGTTAATGTTTCAAACTAAGGTGGGGGGGGGTGAAAAATGTTCAGGCTTCAACCAAGTTTTAGGGTTTCAAATTAGAATCGGATTGGGCTTCAAGTTTTAAAACCAAATTAGGGTGTCAATTTATGGTTTCAAAACAGGATTACTAATTAGGGGTTTGGGTTAAGGTTTCCAATTAGGGTTTTCAGGCAGTTTGATGGTTTCAAAGATTGAGCTATGGCAGGGGTAGGGAACTCTGGATCCTCTAGAGAGGGTTCAAAGTAGGGTTTCAAGACAGACAGGTTTCGGTTTTCAAATTGGGATTTCAAGTCAAGGTTGGAACCACTAATTAGTGTTTGAATGCAGAATTAATAGTGCTAATAAAATTGACATGTTCATACGTCTCTATTGGGAATCAAAAGAACATGAATGCTGCTTTCTGTGAGCTTGCATTTTTTTTTTGCTTGGAAAAAGAGTGGTGCTTTTTTTAGTTTGTCCACTTAGTGTCAGTGTTTCTCCTTAGGTAAGTCTGTCAACAACACAATCAGTACTGTACTCAGTACAGTGTACCAATCAACAACATTCGGTGGGGGCTCATGCCAATAACCCGAATGCAGTGCCCTTGTATCATATTATGGTCATTTATTTAAAGTTCGTATCATGTAAAATACCATTTATAATTTCTGATATTTTTGTTAGAGAAAGAGTTTGACTTGCAATCAGGCTGAATTTGAGTTTTTCAAAATCAACAAAAAACAGATTAGCAGATTTAATTGAAATATTATCCTGAGGGATTGTCCTGTGTTGTGTTTGGGAAAACAGCCTAGGCCCAAAGCCAACAATCATAAGTGTTAAACCTGTTCAATTTACGATAGCAATTCATCCTCCTAAAAATCACTTAAAATGTACTATATGTATTTTTTGCTTTCATAAATATTGTTGAACATTTGTGATCGTTAGCCGCGATGACTTTCTTAGCAGATCAGGACCGCAAAATCACTCTTAAACACCACACACGACAGGATAATCGCTGAAGGTACTTTTATAGAGACATCATATAATTGGGACTTTAATGACTTTCTTCAATTGTTCCGATTATTAGTATGTGTGACCTGATTAATTTGCTATTGTTCTCTTCCACGTCAGGATCACTAAAATCGTGGGTCACCCCAATTGGATGTGCAATCATTTTCTGAACAGAAAACGGGAGGAAAAAGAATCACTCTTAACACACCCCACACCATCCGATAATCGCTTGGGATAGTCTCTTGGAGAGATCCGAATATAAGGACTTTGCTGACTTTAATTGTAATGGGGGGGAAATGCCCCAATTGATATGTGTTTTGCTAGGGTTCCATTTCACATCCTCATTATGAATTCTGTGGCTCGATCCTAACTTCATATTGACCGCACACATCAGCATTTTCGATCATAAGTGTTGAACATGTCCAAGATTTACAACGATCGGTACCGATAGTTTTCATTGCCGATTGGGGAGGCAAAAAAAAAATATCACTCGTCACATCCAACACCACATGATAATCCCTCAGAATAATCTTTTAGAGGCATCCGATAATCGGACCTTTGTTGACTTTGATTGTAATGGGTAAAATGTTCAAATTCAGCCTGAAAACTCTTTATTTCAACACATTGTCAACTTCATGTCCTCATAGCAAGCAAGGTCCTCATGACGTATTCTACCAAATACCATAATAGGGAATGTGCTTTAGTTCCAGATGATGAACCATACTGACAGACTTCAAATGTTCCCCTAAACATAAAGTTCGAAACTTTCCAAAGCAAACACTCAATGTTGTTTTCGGTCCACCCCAACAAGGATTCCAACGATGTCAGCGTCAGTCTGATGGGAACTTATGAGCTCAATGTGACGCCATGTTTGGCATTTCTTCTTTCACAAAGGGGGCCATGAATTCATGTATGTTTTAACAAGATCCATTCATGAGTTTTTGCAAGTCCAGCAGCCAGAACGATGCCATGATTGGTTAATTGAGGACGAGTGGTAAACCTTGAGAATTCTTTGCTAATTCTGTTAAGCTGAAAACTACGGCTGACAAGCAATCTGATACTGTTTTGTCGCGTCTTACTTTCTTGACTCGTGTCACAGGACCACGAGGAACACATGGCTTGTTAAATTAACAAAGTGGCTGAAAATCCGCTGACTGTGCTTTGCCCAAGTAGCCCACTCATGATAGTTGTAGTCACTTAAAAAGTTGGGGAAAAAATGTTATGCATACATGCAGTTTCATCTATGGACACAAAATTGGTTTTACATATCTATCGTAACAGGACCCATGAAACCGTTTCAAGGACCCTTGCCAATAATTGAACCGAAAGTCAGCTATTTTGGTTTGAAGCAGCCATGGAAAATTGGGGGAAAAAATAAATCACCATCCGACACCACTTCCACTTTTGCACATGAAATTGGTTGGTTGTTAGTATCGATTGTGACAGCACGCACTTAAAAGTTTCAAAGGCCCATGAGAGAAATTGGGTGGAAAGTCGGCCATTTTGTTTTGAAGCAGCATTTTGCACTCAGTCGCAACCCAGGTAAAGTTAGAAGAAAATTTGCTCCCCAACACCAGTTTCATCTTTGAACATGAAATTTGGACCTGAAATTGAAAACTAGCACATTTTAACTTCTTTTTTGCTTCATCCACATTTGAAGGCCAAATTTAATCGGAGGTGTCATCGTAGTTCTGGTTGCCATCTGCAGGTTTGCAATCCACCCCTCCTCTCTTCCTTCCCCTTGGGGAGTGACTTTTACTTTGGTGTGCTCCCCCGAAATTGAAACTGGACTCATTAACATCAGAAGCAGTTGAGTTTCACTGAATGTACAAGAACCCAGAAACGTAAACAACACCCAAGAAAAAAATAAAATACACTTCTATGTTGACACTCGACTGGCATCTGGAATGAATTACATGGTAGGTAATTAAATCATTAAATCTTAATGAATATGACCTCTCAACGGGGTGAATGATCACTGTTTGGTTATTATTAAAAGCCCATTAAGATACGTAGGATCTTTGATGGAATATTGTAGACAGTGTGAGTGTGTCTCACACTTTTTGTTTTTTGTTTTTCTTACAGGAGGTACAGCTGAGTGCAAAAGTTGCTTCTTTTTCTTCTTAGAACATGTTAGTAATAAAATCTGTGTTATTTTTAACCTGATAACCTGGCAATCCATTTCTTAATAGCTGCAACTCATCAGTATGAGCGGTTCTGATGAAAATCTTGACCCAACATGCGATGTTAAATCCTCAACCTAATGCGTTGGGTATGAATTACTCAACATTGGCATGACCCCTTTTTGGACAGAGTGCTGGGTTAGTTAGTTCACTCAATTAGGGTTACTTTTGACCTCAGTAATATAATTCACGTTCCCATTATCTTGCTAGTCAAAGTGTCGCATTTAATAAATGATTGCAAACAAAAATTGTTGAAAGTCCCACACTGTGTGTGTTATATTTTGTGATTTCACAAAAGTACTTTTAAGCCGCTATAAAATGCAACTTTTTAATTTAAAAAAAAAAAAAAAAGCTATTTATCCTTATGGTTGGAGATGGACTGAGTAATGAAACATACTTTGTAATATTTTGAGGTTGTTTTCCCCTTTGTGGCTTTTTAAGATAATCAAATACACCCCGGGTTAAAATGGCCCAAGAATATTATTGCTGTAGCCAAGAAATAAAGGTAACAGGAGAGTTAAATGAACGTGAATGCAATCTGTTGATGTGATGCTTGTGAACCCAAGCACATGAACAGACACCAAAAGAATTGTGTCATGCTTAAAAAAGGACATTGGATTCAGTGGAAATTGATGATGTTTTTGAAGTGAGCCGAAAGTGTTTTTTTTTTTTTTTTTTTTTGTGGTTGTATGACATGCTCCAGTTCAATTAGCAATATGATGACTTGCACTTTTGTGCACTATTGGCTCATTTTGGCTCAAGGCCTGCATGTGCGCTTGTGTCAAAGAATATAAACAGTGACACGCCTCCCACTCTTGCGCTGCGCTCGCGTGCTCAGATTCCATTCGTGTCTGGTTCCTTTTTTTTTCTTTTTTTTTTTTGGGAGGCCACAGCTTCTAACGTACAGGGCGGGTGAGGGTGAGGGTGGAGTAAGGGGGCATCTCGTCTCGGGGAACTGGTTGGACCAGAGCGGCGCGTGGTGGAGGGGCGGGGGGAGCTCGTTACCGGGTTGGACGATGCTCGAGAATGACAACAACGACCTCCTGTTCACTCGCTTTGCTGCTGCTGCCATCAACACCGGCGTGCGTGTACTGCACCATATGTGTTTACCACATTGTGTATCGTGTGTGTGTCTCGGTCCATGACTGAGATCTGCAAGGCATCACCTTTGCCCTACATGTGACTGGAGGGGGCATGCACAACTGTACATTAAGCAACAATCGTTATATAAAATGTCACCTGAAATGTGCTCAAATTCTTTGCTTCTCTCGGATTCGAAGCCCTACTTTAAAACCCTATCCTTTTTTTTTTTTTTTCAAACGTTAAGACAGACTTCACTGCCTAATTTGAATTTCTTCCCCTTGACACACTAACCTCAACCTGGAACCCTAATTCCACACCCTAACACTATCTTTAAACTATATTTTCATACTTTGTACTTGAAACCATAGGCCTGTCTTGGAACCCTAACCCCATTTTGAACCCTAACCTAACCATAATTTGAAACACGAAGACATGCTTCAAACCAACATTTCAAACCCTAACCTTGTCTATAAACCTAACCCTCGTTGGAAACACTAAACCTGGTTTGAAATCATAATTTGAAAATCTAACCCTGTGTTCTAATCCTAAACCCCAACTCTGTTTTGAGACCCTAATTTGAAACCCTAATCCAGGTTTGAAACGATAATTTTAAAACTCCAATCCGGTCTAAGAAATCCAATTAGAAATCTTAAACTTAGTTTAAAACTAATTAGAAAACCTAACCCTAATTTGAAACCCTATACCTGTCTTGAAACCCTAAATAGATACCTACCCCTATTTAAAAAAAAAAAAAAAAGCTATTTATCCTTATGGTTGGAGATGGACTGAGTAATGAAACATACTTTGTAATATTTTGAGGTTGTTTTCCCCTTTGTGGCTTTTTAAGATAATCAAATACACCCCGGGTTAAAATGGCCCAAGAATATTATTGCTGTAGCCAAGAAATAAAGGTCAGAGGAGAGTTAAATGAACGTGAATGCAATCTGTTGATGTGATGCTTGTGAACCCAAGCACAAACAGACACCCCAAAAGAATTGTGTCATGCTTAAAAAAGGACATTGGATTCAGTGGAAATTGATGATGTTTTTGAAGTGAGCCGAAAGTGTTTTTTTTTTTTTTTTTTTGTGGTTGTATGACATGCTCCAGTTCAATTAGCAATATGATGACTTGCACTTTTGTGCACTATTGGCTCATTTTGGCTCAAGGCCTGCATGTGCGCTTGTGTCAAAGAATATAAACAGTGACACGCCTCCCACTCTTGCGCTGCGCTCGCGTGCTCAGATTCCATTCGTGTCTGGTTCCTTTTTTTTTCTTTTTTTTTTTTGGGAGGCCACAGCTTCTAACGTACAGGGCGGGTGAGGGTGAGGGTGGAGTAAGGGGGCATCTCGTCTCGGGGAACTGGTTGGACCAGAGCGGCGCGTGGTGGAGGGGCGGGGGGAGCTCGTTACCGGGTTGGACGATGCTCGAGAATGACAACAACGACCTCCTGTTCACTCGCTTTGCTGCTGCTGCCATCAACACCGGCGTGCGTGTACTGCACCATATGTGTTTACCACATTGTGTATCGTGTGTGTGTCTCGGTCCATGACTGAGATCTGCAAGGCATCACCTTTGCCCTACATGTGACTGGAGGGGGCATGCACAACTTTACATTAAGCAACAATCGTTATATAAAATGTCACCTGAAATGTGCTCAAATTCTTTGCTTCTCTCGGATTCGAAGCCCTACTTTAAAACCCTATCCTTTTTTTTTTTTTTTCAAACGTTAAGACAGACTTCACTGCCTAATTTGAATTTCTTCCCCTTGACACACTAACCTCAACCTGGAACCCTAATTCCACACCCTAACACTATCTTTAAACTATATTTTCATACTTTGTACTTGAAACCATAGGCCTGTCTTGGAACCCTAACCCCATTTTGAACCCTAACCTAACCATAATTTGAAACACGAAGACATGCTTCAAACCAACATTTCAAACCCTAACCTTGTCTATAAACCTAACCCTCGTTGGAAACACTAAACCTGGTTTGAAATCATAATTTGAAAATCTAACCCTGTGTTCTAATCCTAAACCCCAACTCTGTTTTGAGACCCTAATTTGAAACCCTAATCCAGGTTTGAAACGATAATTTTAAAACTCCAATCCGGTCTAAGAAATCCAATTAGAAATCTTAAACTTAGTTTAAAACTAATTAGAAAACCTAACCCTAATTTGAAACCCTATACCTGTCTTGAAACCCTAAATAGATACCTACCCCTATTTTGAAACTTTAAACCTGGCTGAATACCTAACCCAGTGTAAAAACCCTCATTAGAAAACATAATCCTAGTTTGAAACCCTAACCCACTCTTGATACTATAAACTATGCTTGAAACCATAATTTGAAATCGTTACCCAGTCTAAAAACCTCATTAGAAAACCCTGCCCTAGTTTGAAACCTATATCCCTGTCTTAAAAACTTTTGGTACCTTAAACCATGCTTTAAAGTTTAAAGCATCATTTGAAACTCCAAAACTGTCTTAAAAGTTTCCTATCCCTAATTTGAAATCCTAAACCGGTCTTGAAATCCTAATTTGGCACTTCAACCAGCGCTTGAAGGCTACATTTACAGGCAAAATGAACAAACTTGTTTCTCATGTAGCTGTATGTCTAACAATGGGCCTTTTCTTAGCTTTAGCGGGCCTTGGCCTCTTTAAACCCCGAAAGCCCTTCCCACTGGCCCATTGATGAGGTTGGCCAATCACAAGCAAGCTGAGCGTGGACGGGTAGGCGGAGCTTCCCATTGAAACAGGGTGTGGTTCTGAAACTTGCCTGCACTCTACTACTTTCAGAAGGGCTTTAAATGGAGTAGAGTGAATGACCTCCCGTCCTATTCCTGACCTGACGCTCACTCCGGCGCAACTGGAGTCCCACCCCAGCTCAACCCTAAGCCCACTTCAACTGTCTCTTTGGAAAATTTTGCGCCCGAGATCCGGCGGGACGTGGAGCTGGAGCCGGGAAGCGTCGCTGTGGTTTGGCTGGCTTCCACCTGCTCCTCCTCACTGACCGGTTTTGGAGTTTGATTGCCTGAGCGCCCGCCCTGGCTGTTACGGGAGCAAGAGCTGAGGACTCAGCAGGTGAGTCAAGACCTGGATGTGATTCAACTTGCAACACCCTTGCACACACTTCTTCACCTGAATGTTTTTTCAATAACTTGTACTCAACTGAAGGCGAATTGGGGAAGATGTTTTGTTCAGCATTGACAAGGCACATGTTTTAAGTTTGTGTTTGGTTGGACTAAGAACTTTATGTCAGTGGTGCCCAAAGTTGTGTATTCTGGTAGTCATACATTTTCAAATGTGGACTTTATCAGAGCGTTGGGGATACATTTAAAATGGTCTCAACTCAAAACAACTTTATTTGCAAAGCACTTTACAAACAATCATCGCTGCTTACAAAATGTTCCACATGGAGTATAAATCAGACATACAAAAGCAAAGACAGTTAAATTTATCAATGGCATAAAAACAGTGAACACCATAAAATACAAAAACAATGCAGGGATTCATGCTGAGTCAAAAGTCAAAGAATAAAAAACTGTTTTAAGATCAATTCTGTGAAAGATGTCACACTTTTTATTTACACTTTTTGAAAAGCAGTAAAAAGTTGAATGAAAGTTTGTGAAAAGTCTTGTTTTGAATTTGGAGAAAGAAATTTTACAATACATTCAACCTTTGTTTTAGTTAAATGTTTAAAGCTGTTAGGTGTTTTATATTCAACGATTTAAAATATATACTGTATTTTCATTTTGTAAAAAAAAAATCATTCTTTTAACATTTAAAAAAAATTATATTGTACTACAAAGTATGTGTTTTTGTGAAAATATAACATTTTTTTGTCTTGCATTTTTTGAAATAATTGAATAATTGTCAACTATTTAAAAACTAGAGGAAAAAAAGTTTTATTAAAAAAAAATTAATAAAGTAAAGAATTTAAGAGACATTCCGACAATAAGTATTTAAAAAACTTTGATTTTTTTTATTGTTACGCATTTTCTAAGGCATAGAAGTTGAATCTTAAAATGTTTTGGCTATTTTCATGTTTTTAATTGAATGTCAAGATATTGGCAATTTTTATAAGAAAAAAATTCACATTTGAAAAGTTTGAATACGGGGATGCTTAATTTTTTTAAATGTAGATTAATTGAAAATATCAATCACAAAAATCTGACCTTTACACAGTTTTTTCCCTCCTTATAATGCATTTAACTGTTTAGCACGTTTTCATCTTTGATATATTGAACTGCTCTTCGTAAATGCTGATGTGACCCTTGTCCTCCTTCCATTTTGCTGTATGCAGCCCTCAGGGGAAAAAGTCTCTACATCGCTGATTGATATTATGGCAAACTATGACAGCCTCTAAGTAGCTTTTGGTTTCCGGTCCTACCGGAAGAAAAAAAGTAGCCTTCAGATTTGGTTCTTTTCCAAAGTATACGTCGGGTACGAGGATGTCTGTGACACTCTCCAAACTTGCCCCTGATGTTTATTTGGCAATCGCACGCCCTGATAAACCACCGTCAGTCGGCTCCATGCGGGCCAAGAGCTTCGCCTCACCCGTCTGACTTGCTCTGTTAGTCAGTCGGGGAGAATTTCATTGTTCTCCACTGACAACGTATTTCAACATGAATGAATGGCTCGCTTCAAATGCAGCTTATATGATTTCGGCGAGACTTTTCGTCGTTTTGTAACGGGGGTTCCCAAATCACCCAATTTCACTCAATTGGTTTGAAAATTAACATTTACATACTACAAATAACATACCATTGTTAATTTGTCCATGCCAGGAAAAATTAACATGATGTCATTCATAAAAGCGAATAACAGCTTTTGTGTTCAACTAAACACGCCTGGATTTCATGCTAAGTAAATTTGTGACTACATTTGAGGTGGGCGGATCGATACAAATATCAATTATACGGATACCGATGCTGATCGTGATATTGATCGCTATCAATGTCAAGATATGTCGTATTAAAAATAATGCATTTACGGTAATAAAAAAAAATGAATACAATACATCTCCGATTGGATTGAATATAAATACACTTTTGTGGTAAATATGAAAGGGATACTTGATACTTGCCATTGATATACTGTCACAGGTGAAGAAAAATGTACAGGTCACGCTTTTAAATTTAGAAATGTATCCAAACGATTCAGTGATTTGTCTTGAAAACAACTGCGCTTAAATATAACAAAATAAAACCTGTACTTAAATAACAATTTAATGTGAATTGTACCTAAATATATGCAGGGTCTGACATGAATCCTTTTTTGATGGTGGCCTGACATCACCCTGCCAGAACCAGCACTGGCCCTGATTCAAAATGATGCTTAACAAAATTCATAATAATAAATGTAGGCCTTCCTATGGATGGAATAGTAAAGCGTGTATACTAAGTGGCCAAAATGCACACGAGTATGTAGCGCATAATGCGTCACTGAATGGGGACAGCTAACTGTGCGCAACGGGAATGAAAACTAAAAATATTGAACATTAGATATTAACAAAATCAAGAAAGTGTTGATTTCATCACGTGAACCCGGGCCAGTGGGCCACTGGTAATGTCGGAACCTGAAATATTCAAAAATTGTTCTTAAAGACTACATGCAAATGGTTGCAACTTAAAAGTGAAATACAAACAAACTGTCTTCTTCTGCATACCACTAAAGGGAGCCCCCATAGCAATAATATAATCTTCCGGAAATTTCCACTTTACGAAAATGGCACCAGTTCCAAATCAGCCTGTGGATTCATATGTTGCCATTCAAACAACAGAAAAGTAGCTTTGAGTTCAATGAAACACAGCCAGATTTCACGCTCAATTATTTCAGTGAACATAATTTTTGCTGACATTTTTGTTTAGTGGTGTGCCGTTATGTTTTTCTCATGTAAAAGATGTGCCTTGGCGCAAATAAAGGTTGTAAAACCTTTTTGGAGAGCAGCATGAGGAGACAGTGACAATGTGTTTCACGTCTGGTTTTAGGTAAAGAGGCGAGCAGTCACCATGCTGCTAGAAGCTCTATCCAATATTTTGGAATTCTACGATGACCTGCTGTCCAAATGCGGTGAGTTGACTTTACGCTCCATCTGAGATGACGCTTGCGGATGAACAAAGCCAACAAACGCGACGTCATCGCTGCCTCATTCTATTCACGCCTATGTACAGTGTCGAGTTTTGGGAGGAACCTGACAAAACCTGTCGGATAGATTTGAAGACACGCAGCAGAACCTCAAATTGACTTTTAAAGGGCAGAGGCAGGCCGAGGAGGGAGGCCTGAATAAAATGTGTGTGCTTTCTCTTGTCTTCAAGTTAAGAGGTGATACGCAACATTTTGAACCAACTGCAGATATTTGAAGGGAGGTTGGATGACTCCAAAGTCAACTGCATTGCAGTAATACAGACGAGATGTGATTACGGTTTCAAAGTGCTGCTGTGTAGGAATAGGTTTAAAATGGGTGTAAAAATGTTAGTTTTTTTTTTTTAATTACCGGTAGTTAAAAGCGTGTAGGGAGTTCTGATTTTCAGAATTTTCTTCATTCAGAATTTTCACTTTGTGCAGGTGAGTCTGGATCCTATCTTCAACAATAAACGGGGGTTATTGTACTTTATGACAAAATGAGAGCCACAGTCACCGTTGCACCTTTTGGGCAAGGCAGTTTTATTTATACTGAACATCTCATACACAAGGTAACTCAATATGCTTCACATAGTTACGAAACAAGATTTAAAGGCAAAAGAATTTAAGTTCTTTCAAAGCAGAGTAGAAAAATAAACCACAGATTACTGAAATTACTAAAAGAACACAGTGAAAGAACATGATTTTGAAAGAATTTATTTTTAAAATGCTTAGAAAGACCTTCATCATAAGAATAGTAGTGTGGGTGGGCGGAGGGGGAGTACAGTTTTTCAAAAAGCATTTACACTTGGGGCAAACCTCTGTTGACAGCTTATTCCATTTGCGCGCAGCATAACAGCTGAATGCTGATGCACCATGTTTGTGTTGAACTCTGGATTTCACGAAGTGACCCACTAGTTAGCCTTATATTGAACACTAGGGTGATAATAGTAAAACACACAAACACAATGAGCACACTTCTGCAGGAGCTGCTGTCGACCACAGCTCACACCCAGACACTCAAACGCAGACTTGCTGATGTCACACAACCAGGGGTGTAGTGGGCGTGGTACGCGGGGGTACGCCGTCCACCCACTTCTCCCGACGCCACATTCAATTTTTATTGAAATGTTTGTTGATCATTGTTTTAATGCGAGTTATGCTTAATAACGTTGGCCTGTGATTATTTTGGAGTAGTAAAACATTAAATTTAACGTTAGTTCAACTGGTGTTGTAGCCTATGATTGATGTTCTGTGTGTATATATAGAACATCCCAGAATCGCGTACACCCACTTAAAAAATCCCCACTACACTACTGCACACAACCCGATCAGGAGTCTAGGTTTCGGCAACAAAAACTTGACTGCATTGGATCATTTTCTTCCGTATTGTAAAAATGTGATGAAATTTGATCTGCATGTCCTTGAATACCTTAAAATTATGTGCTGTAGGTCAAGATAAATGTGCCAGCTAGCTTTCAATCCTTTGTTTGGGGGGGGGGCGATAAACGCCAAAATATTGCATGAAAATCATCAATCAAACGACAGAAGATTCCGCTGTACATCATTTCTAAAAATAGATATGTAAAAGACATTTTCAACAAGCCAGAGCTAATTTTCCAGAGGGGGGTGCAAAATAGACCTGCTTGATGTGATCACATGAAAATTGCCTCACAAAAAATGGTAGAAACATACCTCTCTCTTCTCATTCTCTTCGGTTGATTTTTAGTTCAACTGAGAGTGGGAATGAAGAGCTTGAATCCTATTTTTTGAAAAATATTTACGAATCCTGTGAAGCGAGTTGAGGTCGGGTCACAGATATCTCCAGGTAGCACCGCAATTGGATCAGGTGTTTTTTTTTTTAATTTTTTTTTTTTTTTTTTTGCTCATGAAATTTGTCCATGCGTGGTTTCCAGACGCCCGGGTCAAAGATTACCCGTTGGTTCACTGTCCCGCCAAGATGACGACCCTCCTGGTGAGCTACGTCGTCTTCGCCATCTATTTGGGTCCTCGCCTGATGGCCAACCGCAAGCCCTTCCACCTCAACACGGTCATGGTGGTCTACAACTTCGGCATGGTCGCCTTCAACGCTTTCATCGTGTACGAGGTACGAGGAATGCGCTACAAAATCTGGTTGAGTTGATTTGAATTTATTGTGGATGTGTCTCGGCCACCCCAGTTCATGATGTCCGGATGGGGCACCACATTCACGTGGAGATGTGATTTGATTGATCCCTCCAGCAGTCCTCAAGCACTTCGGGTAAGGTAGCAAATCTTTATTTAAAAAAGGAAATGTATGGTATTTATTAATCTTGATTTTTTTTTTTTTTAACATACCGGTAACTTGAATGTGAGGGATTTATAGTGTAAAATCTCACTTTGGATCTGATTACTTCAAAGGCACAAAATGGTCAATAAAAAATGTTTAGATGCTCGTCATAGTTTTACTTTTCTCCCTCTCCAAGATAGTTTTCAAATTGATAGAAAACTGAGAAATATTTATAAAATCAATAACAACAAAAACTTAACAGCAAGGGGAACAAAAAACATAGATGTCTAAAAAGAAATACACGATTGGGATTTTTATATTTTTGATTCTTGCTGAAAACATCAAAACCCTTCTTTTTATTGGGGCGAAAAAATGAATTCATATTGATTTTTCCTGAAAACCACAATATGCCCAATTGTGTTGCCAGGCGAGTTGGAAAATAAATGTCGAAAACAAAATGTAAACAAACTGTTGGATGATGCAAAAATTTAATCTCTACTGGAAACAAAAATCCCACTTTTTGTTGAGGGGGGGGTTATACTATTTATCTTCTAAAACAAAAAAAAATGAGCTACCGTAGATGCTTTTCATTGTTCCAAAAAAAAACCCCAAAACAAAACACAAATGTTTTCTTGTAATTTGGGGACAACAAAATGTATGTATAACAACACCACAAATGTGCTGATGCAAAGTTTTTTTTAAATTACATGCAAGTCTTGATTTGAAAGTCTACAACAAAGCAAAATCCTTTCTGACAACTGTGACACTGTCCAACGGCAATTCGTCAGTGAAATGCAGTTGAGCAGCTCTCCAAGGTAATTGTAAATGTCACAGCTGTGTTTGAACAGCTGCACTTTGAAAAGGGTTCAACTGCAGATGTGAAGCAGCAGCGTTGTATTGAATGCTCTTCAAATTCTATACATGCGTACGTGCATCTGTGGGTGAAACCAGTAAATAGATTGTTGCAGCTCCGAGACAAAAAGACCTGTAGTGTGGTCTTTTAAACGTACACTTTATTAATTTTACAGCTGGGATAGGCTCCAGCAGCCCCCGTGACCCTTGCGAGGATAAAGCGGTTCGGGAAATGAATGAATGACTTTATTAATTCTTTAAAACTCCCAAACGAATACAGACACGTGCATTCTTTTCTCAATTCGGCTCGAGAGGCGCCTCAGAAAAAAACGGAAATTAATGATACCTTCAATGGCACTAAGAAAAAAAGTGCACCAAACCAGAAAATCCAGCAAAGAAATCAAAAAATAAATACCATGGGGGTGTTTGTGAACACACAGCAAAAGAAATCATTCTTTTAGCATCAATATAAACAATTCTGAACCAGTCCAATCTCCTACAACATTGTCCACTCTGCAATTATGCAGATGTGAAAATATGAGCAAATAGGCAGCAAGACTAAGCAGCGGTGTTGTCTGCTACGAGCGCCCGTGGTTCGTTAACTGCATGCACCTTACAGTATTCAACCCACGTTAGTATTAAACATTATTCCTTTTCCTTCACTCAGATGGTGCGAGCGGGTTGGCTATTTTTCTTTTCCAAGTTCATTGAACTCCTCGACACGGTGAGCATTTGTTTCCGTCAACGTTGTTTGTCGTTTTTTTTGTTAGTTTTTTTCTTTAATTATTATTTTTTGTTTTGCATAACTAATTCTCGGTCGATGATGTCGTTTCAGGTATTCTTCGTGTTGAGGAAGAAACAAAATCAAATCACCTTTCTCCACGTGTTCCATCACTCGGTCATGCCCTGGTCTTGGTGGTGGGGCATCATGCTGACTCCTGGTAAGGACCGACTCGTACTCGTCAGTCGGCATGAGGGCAACTTCTCAAAGATGACCGATATTTTCTCCCCCATCTCAGCCGGAGGGATGGGCTCTTTTCACGCCATGGTGAACGCCACGGTCCACGTCATCATGTACACGTACTACGGACTGGCAGCGGCAGGGCCACGCTTCCAGAGGTTCTTGTGGTGGAAGAAGTACATGACCGCCATCCAGCTGGTAGGTATTGCGGCACGCTTCTGTGGTCAGTTCTTGAAAGAATTTACCCTGACTTTGGAATGGCACAATTTATATAAATAACAAAATACACTAAATTTTATCAATTAATTTTGAATTGTGTAGATGTTTAAGACAAAATATTACAATAGATACTGATTATGATATTTAAAAAAAATCTTTTCTAAATGTTTTGAATGCGTCGGCTGTATTTAACAATTCAACATAGAAATGGTTTGGGTTTATGTATGAGCTTGGCTGAAATAAAAGAATAATGATGAACGAAGAGAATTTTATTCAAAAATGTTATAAATAAATTAGTAAAACTAAGCTATTTATTGAGCACAAACTTGGGCTGAATGTCATATTTTAAATGTATATTATACACACACACACACACACACACACACACACAATATGTTTAGGACTGCCTTTTCAAATCAAATAAAACGTATATTTATACAGGCACACAGATGTCTTGAGTATCAATTTGGGCTGAATTTGATATTTTAACCCTTTGATGCACCCTGTGATAACATGATAAGCTGTCCACTGTAGTAACCGCTGTCCCTGAAAGGGTTAATAAAAAAAAATAAAATTGACATTATTTGGACTTGATATAGGTTTTTTGAATGAATCTGGTCTGGCTAGCAGAAGTCAAAACACTCATACAAGAGGATGAAATGCAATCAAATCAGCTAGATAAAGATTAAAACCCGAGTATGAATTTGGAGTAAATTCCATAATTTCAAAAAGCAATCTGTAGAATTAGTATGTATTGCGTTGTTTCCGGCAGACACAGTTCATCGTGGTGTCGGTGCACATCAGCCAGTACTACTTCATGGAGAAGTGCGACTACCAGGTGCCCCTGTGGATCCACCTGATCTGGATGTACGGCGTGCTCTTCTTCGTGCTCTTCTCCAACTTCTGGCTGCAGGCCTACATCCGGGGCAAACGGCTCCCCGTCACCCAACTCAAGAGCGGGCGCGAGCGGACCCCCCCAGCACCTCCGCTGGCCAACGGCACCCACGGCACCCACGGCACCCACCAGCACAACGGCAGCGCCGACCAAAACAACCACAACCAGCACAGCCACACCAATGGCAATGTGCAACTGGGCAAAGTAAAGGAGATCTAACTTTTTGGGACCTTGAACTTGTCACAATGACTCTGCTATACTAGTGCACCAATAGAATAACCAAGTCTATGGAAAGCCGTTGGAGCTTTGATTTCATATCCAGCTTACGTTCCACATACTTGTAGGTTTTTCAACCTCGCTAGTAAGACATTTCAGCACACTAGTAGAATGACAAGTAACATTTTTTTCCAGGACTAGTGTCAGTTTTGGCCTTCCAGTATGCGATTTAACTCTTCCTCGTAAACTACTGTACTGCACTAGTAGCACTACTAAGCCCAACTAGGCTAGTAGGCATGCCATGCTCTAGTAGCCTCCTGGGCCGGACTAGTAGCATGAAAATACCCAATGGTAGTTTTGTCTCACTAGTAGCATGGCCTACTAGTGTGAAGAAATATTTTTTAAGCATTTTTTTTCAAAATCCTTCATATGCAGTAGTATGCTCTTTGTCCTCACTAGTAAGGCTATTCAGCGCACGAGTTGAATGATTCTCTTACAAGTAAGATGTTTTCCACTACTAGTGACACTATTGACCTTCTAATACACAAAGAAACCTTCCCTCATGAAGAACTGCACTGTCGAACTTGTAAGCGTGTGTCACGCACTAGTAGCCTCTTCAACCCAATTATTGGCACCAAAATGCCCACTAGTTGTTTGCCTCACTACTAATACGAAGTTGTCCGACTGGTGTGCTGAAATGTTCTTATGGAAAGCTGTCTGAGCTACTACTTTCTAACTGCTTTACTAGTGAACATCCGTGCTGCAGTCTACTTAGTCCAACTTTTTTTTATTTCTTTTAAACCCTGAACATGTCTACAACTATAGACTAACAAAGCCTTGGGAAAGCCATTTGAACATTTATTCAATAGCTTTGATATCAAGCTGTACTAGTACACTGTATACTTACTCGTAAGAGAATTCAGCGCACTAGCAGAATGGATGTCTTAAGGTCATTTTTTTTTTTGTTTCCCCAACTACCGGATGACTACTAGTGAGGCACAACTGTACACTGCTTGACACCGGTGTGCTTCTGGTACTGCGAGTGAAGCATTAAATACAGTATTTACCAGTTGAATTTTTCATCAGCAGTACCAGTAGCTGTAATTATCAACTAGTGCACAGTTTTGCCTAATTTCTAACATGTAGTTTTCCGACTTGTGTGTGGAAATGTCATGCGGAAAAAACGTTACTTATATAAACGGTTCTACTCGTTTGCCCTAGTTGTTCAAATAGTGCGCTGAATTGTCTTTCTCGTGAAGAAAGAGTATACTAGTACATGGAGCAAGGATATGGAATAAATGCTGAAACGGCTTTGACATCAAGACTAGTCTACGGTGATTTATATTGTTGGGACTTGATATGATATGAATGGCTTTGTGTTTTTTTATGTTTTTGTTGTGAGTGATCTTGTGTGTTTTTGTGGCGACACTGTGATGCACGCGCATGCTTTTGTACGCATGAAGGTCGGTGCTCCATTTTCTCACGGACTGTGTTCCTTCATTGCCATTTTTGCGCTCCGCTCGTACCACTTTAGGCCGACACCAACCTCATAACACAGTTTCCACTGAAGACTAGCACGTGTAAATAACGTGGGGGGAGGAAAAATTAAATTAAAAGGCTTTCATTTGTACATGTTACATTTATAGATTTGTTTTGTTGTCATTTGTTTATTTATCTTTTTTGAAATAAACACGTTTTAGATATCAGGGTCAGTGTCATTTGGAAAGCAGTTGGTGGTTTGCACCTGGTACGGAATAATAAGCCACATTTAAATTTTTTTTTTTTAAAATTGTATATTACAGTAGTATTGGTGAATTCTGCATATCAGTGCATCACTCACTTTAGGCCAGAACAGAAACGTGCTTAATAGTTGACATTTCTTTCTTGGCAAACTGACCTGTGAAGAATTTGATATTAAACCCCAATGAAGTGGACACAGCTACAGAAAGTAAACTGTGATTAAATCTTAATTTGATATGAAAACAAATGACTGGACCTGAATTGTATACAACAGAGTGATATTTTATGCATTTTTTCCCCTCCACAATTCACAGCAGTTCCCACTTGTTGAGGGAGCAGAGTCCAGTGTGAGGCAAAAAAAAAGTGTGCCCATAAAGGCCATAAACGCATAAATTCACGGATCCAGCACTCAGGTAATAACCAAACACAGCTCACCCATTTTCTGGTTTGGTCATGTGACATTCACAAGCTGAGCCCTTATGGCGTTGTCACATCAACCGCAAGCGGCAAAATGTCTGCCATGGATAAAAGAGGATCGGTTTTTACTTGACTTTCCCTTTAAATTTGATGAAACAATAAAGTACATTCATCAAATTCGGTTTTGCGCAAAGGAGCTTAGCCAGTTACCAATAGCAAAATGAACTATCGCATGGGGAAAAAAAAAAAAGGCACTTCACATAGAGGATGAATACAATATTAAAGCAAGATGCTGATGCAAACAAACCAGACCTCCCCACTTGGTTCCTGCCAGTCTGTGTAAACATGGTTTAGCACTCATCCATACTGCTCTGAACGTGCCCGGAGATTTTCCAGTTTAAAACAAATCAGTCAACACAGGTGCTGGTAGACCAAGCCTCGGTTTTTACTGATTTTTTAAAATTTTATATACCTGAACCAAACATTACTCTCCGAATGCTCAGTGGGGATAATAAGATTCATTAAAATTAAAACACAAATGGAAGCAAAAATAAAAACAAAAACAGCTTTATCAGCAAGATGGGTGGCAATCCAAGTCATCAGGTTTTAGGAAAGCCCCAAAACATTTTCATTCAAGTCAGCCATTCATAGAACTAAATAATCATATTGTGGAAACATTTATTCAAATGTTCAAAAGTTATGCAAGTCTGACAGAAGAAAATTGTCAAGGGGATGCCTCATCCAATTTACAGTGGACGATGGAAGCAAAACATCATGACCGCAATTGAGCAAATGCACTATGAAAATTCATATGGTGTTCAAAAAAATAAATTAAAAAAAATTCTGTCTCCAAATCATCTGATGGAGCGAGTGAAGGCCGAGTGCAGGGAAATGGGCGTCTTGTCTTTGGCTTTTTTCTTGGGGTCGACCTCAAAGCTCTTCCACAGGCGAATGGTCTCGTCCGCTGCCAGGCTGGCCACCGTGGAGCCATCTGGACTCATGGCAATGTTGAGGACTCTCTCATCGTGTCCTGGTGGTGGGGGAGGGCGGCATTTTAATACAGTGGTTCCAATCAACCCCCCCCCCCTCCCCACCCCGAAATGACAACCCATTTGAGTCCAAACACGAAAGTTTCTTTGGTTTTGTAGTAAACTTCCTCTGGGACTGGCGGACAACTAAGCAACTACAATGTTCACCATCTACCAAACAGCACACTCAGGAAGGACAAAATAGGCAAACTCATTTGTTCAGTAACATTTTTGCTTGTAGCATGCACACACAAAAAAACAAACAAAAAAAAAAAAAAAACACCCCGTACCTCGGGAGTAATTTAGAAAAAGCTAGAATTGGGGGACCGCCAAGTAAGTAAAGGTTCGACTGCACCTGCGGGTAGCCAAGTTGCTTTCCATTGGATGGGAAGTACCGTAACGCTTACCGTTGAGCTCTGCGACTTTTGCCATGGACGGATACTTCCAGATGACCAAGTTATGGTGTGTGAAACCGTGTGCAGACACCAGCTCCTTGTAGTTGGGAGCAAACGCAAGTGCTGACACCTGAAAGTTGTTCACAGGTGAAAATTTGGGTCAATAAGTGTAGAATGCCGATATGACAATTTCTGGGATTTCGGCCCCGCCACAAAAGAAAACTTTTCACGGCAATTAAAAATAACCAAACGAGGTTCACAAAAAAAAACAGGAAATGGAGCCAATATTGTCATTTTATCACATGATAGTCCTATAGGTAAGCGGGATCTGACACATTATCAAATTATATTGGTGGGGGGGGGGGAGGGGGGGGGGGATATTACCTGGGACTGTGTGTCGACTGAACTGAGGCAGGATCCGCTGCTGACGTTCCACACACGGATGTGACAGTCCGAGGTTCCGCCACCCGAGGCCAGGATGCTGGACTGCCATGGACACCAAGCCAAAGCCTAGAAGCACAAACACTACATTCATTATTTGGGGGGAAACCCACTGTGTAAGAAAAAATTCTGCTCCAACATGAGAATAAAAACGTGTACACATTAACACTAAATTCCAAAGTTAAGACAGAAATGACCAAAAGTTATAATGCTCACAATAAGAGGGATCTTTAGGACAGCGCCATAAATTCTCTAGAGAGCGCTTACATTTTGGATTAACAGAAGAGTAATAAAGAACTAATTTGCTAGGGAGCGGGTGGCGATTAGAATAAAAATAGTCCCCCCCCCCCCCAAAAAAAAACCTCACACAAACTAAATATTCAAAGGCAGGTATAAAGCAAAAGATAAACTACCGGTAATTTATCCTTCATGAGAGCTTGTGAAACGCATTGACAGGGTGCCACCATATTTGGTGCATGAAGAGCGCATGAGCCGTGTGTGGATGACTCCTGTCACCCGCACACCTAGCACCAAAATCAAAGATGTTTGATACTCAGTGCTGATGGCACAGTACCATCTGCTTTAAACATCGATTAGAAGGTGGTAGTTTTCCAAGCGGCCCCAATTCTCGCTACAGACAATTCCTCACAAAAAAAAAAATAAATTCTGTTGCATACCTTGACGGCCCCTTTGTGGAGACTCAGCGAGTGCAGCGGCTTGGTGATGTCTGTGCGGCCCTGGGCCACGCGGGGCCAGATGCACACCAGGTTGTCATTGGCGCCGCTGGCCAGGTAGCGGCCATCCGGCGACCACTGCAGCCCGCACACTTCCTGAGAGTGGCCATGCAGCGTGAAGATGTGGTGCTCCGCCACCCTCACGTCATGATGGTGAATCTGACCCGACGGGCTGCCGCTGGGGTGGGGGAAGTTGGAGTTGGTGAGTAGTGATGGGGGGCCAAGATTAGGTTTAGAAAAGGAAACTAAAAGTACCTGGACAAGATGTGGCTATTCCAACTCAGGCTGCAGACTCGTGCAGAGTGGCTGTTCATGCTGCGAAGGCATTTCTCTTGCTCTACGTCCCACAACTACCAAAAGACAGCAATGCAGCTACAGGATGAAATTATTTGAGGGCTGAATGAAAATTTTACTATCGCCACAACAACAAAAAAATAAATGTACAAATCCAGCCCCCCCCCCCAAAAAAATAAATTTTCTGTCACACGCACAATAAAATTACTCATTTACACTGACCCCTACCTAAAAAAAAAAAATTAAAAAAAAAATACATCTCCACATGATCCCATTCCAAATATTAAAAAAAATAAAAACACTCCTCCATCAAAATAGTCCCATTTGAAAACCTTTCAAAAATCCCGATTTGATTTTTTTTCGAAAATCCCCCCCAAAAAACTGATTTGAGAATAAAAATGTACCATAATAATAAAATAGGAATTCAAATGATTCATTTTTTTGAAGTGATTAAAAAATAATAATAATAATCCAACTTAATATCATTTTCGTTTTTCCCTTATTCAGATTTGAATCATTTTTTTCCTCCACCAAAATTTAATTTTGATCCTTTGTGTCCCTTTTCAATTTTAGAGAAGGCAAAACAAGTTTAGAATCTTGTTTGCTTCCCCCCGCCTCATACCTTTACTTTATTTCATCAAATCAATTCCAAGTAGGAACAGAAATAAGATTCAGCTTTTGTAACTGCAAAAAAAAAAAATAATAATAATTACAAGTGTATTTTAAAAAAAAAAACTGACTTGGACTGCACAGTCGCTCGTGCCAACTGCCAGGTAGTTGCCTTCCTTAGCCCAAGACAGCGAGCTGATATACTCTGCCTCATTGTCCATGGTCATGAGGTGGGTGATATTTCCCTGAGTGGCGTCCCACAGGTACACGCTGTCCTTGAGAGCCACTGCCATGACGTTGCGGCTGTTCCAATCGAGCAGATTCAAATCTGGGGGTGGCACCACAAGTCAGCACCGGATGCCGTAATCGAGGTTTAGACCGCTTACCGGTGAGGCAAAAACTTACAAAAATCATCACGAATGTCAGGAGCATCTAAGATTCTGTCAGCAGTGGAAGATATGTGTCGTGTCTTTTTGTTGGACATAGGAGTCATGGTGTGACTGTACAGGGACTTCAAAGAGTTGTGTTGACCTGGAAAACAAGACATTTCCTAGGGTTAGATTTAAACTTCAGGTCCAAGTATCCATTTTCGATTTTTTTTTCTGTGGACATTTCAAGGACATAACCCATGAGACATTCCATATCCCAACACTGATGCCACATAAGACAATAATACATTCATAATCCAAAATATTAAATATTGCATAGCCTTTAGCCAGAGTGGGCTTTTTGGTGCCATGACGCATTTCCGAATTGTGTCATTTGAATTGTCCAGCCTAAATCCAGCCTGGGATTTATTTGCATGATAAAGCAGAGGCTGGCCTTACTATCTGGGTTAACAGTTGGCTTCCCACTGAACTGCAGGATGCGGGCCTCTTCTACGTTGCATCCATTCAGCGCAATGGACCACGTCTTTTGTTGTTCCTGTGACAACATACCCAAAGATGACACAGATCATTAAACTCATCCGTGGATGTTCTGTACAGTACAGTATAGACAATTTGAAAATCACTTGCCAACAAAGCTGCTGAGACGCCGTCTTCCTTGGGTCGAGCCTTCTTTGAGAGCAAGAAACTCGCCATTTCCATTTGTTTCTCATTACGGACAGGAATGAAGCGGTCCGCTCCCATCTTTGACGGAGTGGCTTTCCATCTGCCTATTTAAAAATAAAAGTCAACATAAAATTTTCAAGTCTAAAATTTTCTTTACAATGAGGTTCTATGCTCCCCACTAGCAGCATTCTGATTAATCTGGCAAAAGTAGAATATGAATTAAGCCGCATAATTGATTATTTTTTATCCATTTTGCAACAAGCTGTTTTAGGTGTCGTCAAAGCTATAAAACATGCCCTCGGTTTATTTAAATGATATGCCATATCTATATCGGCTTGCAATCCAATGAAAAGGGAGGAAAGAAAAACAGAAAAAAGGAAAGACAAAAAAAAGATGGCCTCTGCACTCCGCGTCTTAGTCTGGTGGTGGCTTGCAAGGTTGTGGGAGTGTGCACCATTCAAAAAAAGTCACTTCTGGAATATTGGTTAAGTATGGTCACTTTTGTAGAGTAGAGTAATGAGTAATGACTTCACAGTGACTGTTTATTCAAGGTGCATTTTTCTTTCCTGTGACAAACGGCACTGAATGAGGCTGCGGCGTACAAGCTTACCGGCACGTCACAAGCGGACGTTGTGAACCGAGAACCCCCCACCCCGATCTATACATTAGAACTCATTTACAAAGTATCAAATTGTCCGTCTCTCCAGGTATCCGTCGCCGTGCCTTACCTGGCGTCTTACACGGAGTCTTACACGGCGTCTTTGACGATATGTTCAGCGAAACGTTGGCATACTTCCCGGGGGACAAGGCGCTCGAGGACGGGTTTGACGCGCTTGCTTTCCTCTGCCAGCGGGAAATAGGAGCGTTGGTAATGGGGACGTCGAGCTTCAGCGTGTCGCTGATGTCGTTTTCAAATCCGAAATGGGCCATTTTCAATGCCCTCGCTCTCACTCAGTGAATGAAAAAAAGCACGGTAACGCAGACTTGAAAGTGTCGATTAATACCTAACGTCAATTACGACTTAGGGATACAATGACAACTCTACTAAGCCTCGTCCTACAAAAGACAAATGTAACTCGCTCTCTACAAATGACGTGACGGAGTTCAGTAATCACAGTTAAAACCTGGCAAGACCTCCTCCTTTTTGAAAATTTGTTTAAAAGACGCCACAGAATTTAAATCCCACAGAACGCCACGCCATTGGTTTACCGTTCAACGGTCGCGAATATGAAATTGTGATTGGTGAATCAAAATAAGTGGACTTCCTGGCATAGACTGGGAAATGGTGTTCGTCAAAGAAAATGTCGCCATCTATCGCACAGGAGGTGATATTAATCAGGTAATCATGAATACATTTTTGAAAAACATAACTCTTATGAGGAAAAACAGTAGGATGATACGTGTCTTGTCCAGGGAAACCAAGACTACAAGTGTATTAGTAGACAAAGACACACACGATGAAGTGCATTAAAAAGGGTCAAAAGTCCGTCCAGTGGAGTAGCTATACATCATGTTTATATCATTGTTTGTTCTTTTTGTTTTTTTTTAAACAGTCCCGACTTGACAGTCAGCGTATGGAACGGGGCTTTATGCTGGTGTGGCTGCTTTAGAGTGCCTCATTGTCACCGTGAGTGCATGCATGTTACGGTAGAGAAGGCGGAAAAGCAAGGTAAAACAATTCTTTAAAAATCAGATGTAATGCAAACATTTTTATTGTGCAAGTATATATTTCATCAGGCTCTTAAAATAACGGCTGTGGTAATATTTTGACATTTATTTAGTCTTCCACATTTCAGCATTCTGGCCAACAGGTCATTCTAAAATCAGATGCAGCAGCCAATGTCTGGACAACTTTGCGTTGACCTGGCTGCTTTAGAGCGCCTCATTGTCACAGCACAGAAAAACTGCGACAACTTGGTGGAACTGGTTCCAGTCACCGTATGATTTAAACAGACATATTTTCATGACTCAAACATGTAAGTTATGTGTAGACATAAGAAAGATGCTTCACAAAGTAGCATGTTTTGGTGGTATTACAAAGTAGCATGTTCTGGTGGTATTTGAGTGCTGGCAGTTGAGCGGGGTGTGGTTTCAGTGGACACGCACACAGTGTTGGAGAGCAGAGAGAACAGCTGGATTTGTCATGATTGCAAAGCCTCATATACACGATTTTTTTTTTCTTCATCGCTCAAAATTTGGCTTCACTGTGGTGTGTCAAATTCAGAAAATGAGTAGGGGCCCACCCGACTGTGTTTCTGCTCAATTATCATCCTCGAGTCATTGATTGTTTGGCTAATCCACTTCATTAATATTTGCACATGCAAATGTCAAACAAACAAGCACTCGGGCTCTTACAGTACAGTACTTTCATAGTTTAACTTTGAATCATAAAGTTTGACAAGCGTTGCCCTTTTTCTCTGGATGGAAATCTGCCATGTCCTTGGGGTAGTGTATGATCGAACCAAGAACACCTACATGGAAAAAAACAAACAGATTTTCAGCAGGGTTGATCAGTTGCTCCAGTTAAACAACAAGTGAGGTAAAAACGTTGACAAAGCGGGTGAAAATTAAGTTTCTGTGTGCAAAGTGCATTAAATATTCAACTTTCTCCACTAATCTACCATCCAGGTCTGTTAACAGAGACTTGTCAGGAATGTTGTTTTCTTACCCCCGGGGTGTCGCAGACCTAAGTAAATCGAAAGAAAGAAAAGGAAAAACACATGAGCAGGAGTGTAATGACAGGACATAACAATGAGACATAGGAGTTGATTCTGCATTTAATTTCATTGGATGAAATTATCCTTACTATAAGAATAACACCAATCCGCTCTTCAGTATTTAAAACAATAAGAAAAAATGTAAGAGCCTCACTCACCCTGTTGTTTGGAAATGAAGAGGCTGAGTGCCATGAGCCCAGTAAATGCCAGTAGACTCAAGATTGGGATCAGAAAGTTAGGCATCGCAATCCCTGGAATTAAAAAAAAACAAAAACAAAACGAGAATGTCAACTAAATATATTGTGTCACAATGTAGTCTAATATTCAATCGTAGTTGCTCAAGTATTTTTTTTTAAAATGCCCCCGCAGATGATTTGTTTGTTCATGTGAGAAGATCCAGAGCCACTTTGAAGCAAGGGCCAGATGATACTGTCTGCAACATTATCATGCAGAACCAACCACCTACTTACGAGGTGCCAAAGGCTTTATTTTCATCCAGCGCGCATTTGTGCCGTGGCGCCAATGTCAGCGGATCTTGATTTTCTGATCAGCACTGCACGTGTTTGCCAATTTGGCAGTCCAGTATACACTGTGCGCCTGGCAGAGTGACAGTTTGGTTATGAATCATTCTATGGTATTTTTAATTATGGTGATCGAAGTAGGGGGTCAGGGGGTAGTCTCCAAGTGCACAATTCATGGCACAGATGTGCTTCCGCCATGTCGAGACTCGAGTGTGCGACATGTACTCTGCATTTCAAGGAAATGAAAGGAGCTGCTTTGCTTGGCCATGATTGAAGTCAACTGTGAACACTCCCACAGTGGTGCAGCCCTCCCTATTGGTCTGCCGGGCCTGCATTCAGCTGCCAAATTATCAACATTGGGTCTAACCCAACTCTACGCAGAGATACAACACATGTCGCTTTTGGACTCAAGGTGGTCATGAAAATAGAGCCCAAACTCCTATTTAGACAAGTTGTTGCTGCTGTTTGACTTTTGACTAAATGCCCGTCAGTCAGGGCTCTGCGAATCTTTCGGGGCATATTAGTTAAGCTTTTCTGCAAATAGCTGTGGTTAGCTTCAACAGAAGGAAAGACAAATGGGTGAATTTGTTTTGTAACCCATGAATATGCATGAAATAACTCTACTCCACCTGACCGCTTCTCAGAAAGCTTCAGTTTTTCCATCAGATCTACACATGTTTCCTGAAGGAAGATCCCTTCCTTCGCCGAGCTCTCCAAGGCCTGCACCCATGCTGCTTTGAGGGCTGTCGCTTGCCGCGTGTGAGCTATCCAGGCTCCGCCATGGTCCAGGGACAGGTAGAGCGACTCATTGCAGAAAACCCGGTCCCTCCAATACAGCTCCGGGCCTTGCAATATGCAGTCGCGGGAACGAAGGACCGTGTGGTTCCCTGTCAACAAAGACACGCATCAATCAGTTTTCTATGGCAAATATAGGCAAACAACGATTTACATTCATGTGTATGGGCAATTTAGTCTTAATATTAGCAATTAACCTAACATGCATGTTTTTGGAATGTGACATGAAGCCAGAGTCCAGGGCGAAACTCTACACAGGCGTGCCTGAGCCAAGATATGAACCAGAACCCAATTGACTATGAGGCAGACTATGAAATGTCTCAACAAATACATTTCATAGGACTTCAATAAACGTGATGTCTCACCCAACACCGCAGTCTGGTTGGCGAGGAGGCTCAGAGAGATCGAATCAGCCGACATGACCTGAAAGATTTTGTTGACTTCTGGGGTAGCGCCGGTATATGGGACTCCATTGACGAGGACCCGCACCGAGACAGGCCGTACCCCCGACACCACCCACTGCTGCACCTGAATCCCTGCAGTGTCTGAACACAAAGAGAAAGAGATGAGTGTCCATGCAGGTGCTTTCAGGTCACGGGGATTAAAGTGAGTTAAAATGTAACTTCAAGTAGGCTACAAAGTAGAATTTTAGAGTGTGGTTTTAAAAGCCAGTCAAATGGTATACAGTATCAGGAAGCACAAAGGCAAACAGCAGCCTCCACACAGCACTGTATTTTCTATAATGCTTGTTCTGATTAGGACTGGTTGCCAGTCAGTTGCAGAGCACATATACACAAACAACACAAACACATTCACACTTATGGACAATTTAAAGTTTTAAATGAATCTAACATTTTTGTAGAATGTCAAAGGAAGCCAAACCGAATGGCGCACCTGAAGACTCAAATTTGTCCATAAATTTGAATGTGAATGCGTGTTAGTTTCACTATGTGCTTGTGATTAGCTGGAGACGAATCCAGTCTACAGCTCGCCTCTTACCCAAAGTTAGCTAGGAAAGGCTGATTGTGATTGTTTTATTATCATGTTTAATTGTCTCTGGTTGTAAGCATTCTTTTATTGTCAAAACACACCCACAAAAGTCCCTTTAACATCTTTAAAACTCGTCTTAAATCTCATTTTTATTTTTGGGCGTTTGACACAAAAAGAGACTCGATTTTTAGTTTTACTGTTTTTGTGCGCTCTACTGTCTTCGTTATTAATTTATTGTTTTATTGTTTGCTGTTGTATGAATTTTTTGCTCCATCCAGAGCGGGGCTGAGTTGAGAATCTCTGCGCATTCAAATTTGAACAGCAACACAGTACAGTATTCACTTGGAATTTCACTTGACAGGAACAACTAAATTCAACACTGTTTATACCACACTAGGCTTCACCTTAATATCAAAATCATGTTTATTGGATTATTTATAAATGAAACGCGTTGCTTACCCAGTACAACCGGGAAAGCCAGTGATAGATGGGTCAGGATCCCAAGCACAAGAATACCATCAAAATGCATCGCTCCAATACCCAAAACGCGAATGAAAGATTAAACGTGTACACTTAATAGTTAAAGGGATGCTTTAAGCCATTTACAGCGTGCAAAGGTTTCCCGGAAGATTAAGTTAAACCTCTTCAAGAGCATCGTTGGGCTCCGCCTATCAAGCAACAGTTTCAGTTTCCACGAGTTTTTGTAAACCGACGTCCCATTCTCGCTTCTGATTGGCTGACAAGGCAGACACATGTGAAGAGTCTCCGCCCACAGCAACATGATTGACATCAGACCAGTAAACATGAAACGACAAGAATTTTGTTGAAATTTCCAAAGAACATGTAAATACACTTTGCCTAACACTATAATAATGTTTTTCACCTCAATCAGAATCATCTTTATTGGCCAAGTATATTTAAAAAAAAAAGGATTTTTTTTTCGGTAGTATAAGCCACCCGAGTACAGTATTGAACTTACAACCAACAATTAAAAAATACATTAAAGACGTCACGTTACCCATGTACAGATGATGCAGTTTCATATTGTTCATTGCAAATTATTTTTCCTACGGCGTTTCTGAGCAACATCATTGTTATTTTGAACTTCTCACAGGCAGATAATGATAAACAGGAAAGAATGTCCTGTATTCCAATCTGAATACAATACATTGCCTTGAAGAATTATCTGAGAGATTGTACCATACACTGCAGGGCACATATTGACAAACAACAACCATTGACACTCACAATCACATCTTGGGACAGTTGAGAGTGTTTCACTAACCTACCATGCGCGTTTTTGGAATGTGGGAGGAAAGCGGAGGACCCCAAGAAAACCCATGTGGGCACGGAGAGAATATTTAAACGTCACACACACGGGAAGGCTGGAGCCAGGAACCAAATCATCACCTCTGCACTGTGAGACAGACCTGCTAAGCAGTCATCCACTGTGCTGCATCTCTCTCTCCCTCTCTCTCTCTCTCTCTCTCTCACTCTCGCCCCCCCCCTCC